TCCGGCTTTGGGCCTGAGCTCCGGCTCGGGGGTGAGGCGTGGAACGGGTTCGGTTCCCCTTGGATGTTGCACCCACCGAACTTTGGTGCATTTGCTTCAGAATATTCTGTTGGTTCTCATGGGAATCAAACATATCACTATTGGAAATATGTTTTTTTGTTTTTTTTTTTTCCATCGGGCTGAAGCAAATGGAAGTCATTTCTTTGTTGCATTTTTTGCCAAGGGATGTTAGGACTGAACCACTTTTTGCCAACTAGGGATTTGGTTTTCCGTATGAAACCACTAAAAGTTATTCACTTTTAGCAGGGGAGCAGAAAGCAACCGAGGTAAGTTGGTTGTAACCATGCTTGTAACAAGGTTGTAACCATCGTTTGTAGGGTAACTGGGATTGGTCCAATTGCCAGGGTAACCTGCTGACCAATTAGGCTGACCGAACTTCCGTGTCGAATTGGAGCCACGTCTTGCCAGAGTGTCTTGTGTGGATTCAACCGGGACTATCCGAGTCATTCCACTTGGGAGCACAAAGCAGGTCACAAGCTGCTATGTTGTCTTTCCCTAGCGGCATGGAATTGGAACTCCTGGGGTTGAAATCCTAACCTCAACCAATCAATCAACCCATGAGCCAGCCATCCAGCTTCCTTCCTTCCTGCCTTCCTTCCTTCCTGTTTGCCCCCAAAAACTCGGGGAAGACAGAACCTCAACTACCCAACCAGCCAGAGCCCACCAACCGCCAGGAGTGGCTGCACCACTGGAGTCGCAGTCAGCACTCCATGGCGCCCTTTGCCACCAACTTCCACGCCCGGAGCCTCGGAGATGTTCTTTTTTTTGGCGGTGAACGAAAGAAAAGCTTCCTCCGCATAACGCTTCTGTATCAATTGGTTTTGAACAATGGAGCGGGGGATGTCCTTCCTTTGTTTTTGCTGTTTGGCGCATGGAGTCGTGAGTCGCAGCGGGTGCCAAGTGAATAAAGTAGATCAGTAGACCGCTCATTTGGCGGGTGTGGGACCGTGCTAGCTCGTGGTGTGGGACCGTCCCCAGTAAAGCGCTGAAATGCCGTTTCTGGGGTCATGATTTCTACCGTTTCTATCGGTTATCAAAGTCAGAGATTGGGGTTGTTTCCTTTCCCCTACCACTTAGGGGGTGACTTTGACAGTGGTAGCATAGTGGGGCCAGCATTGTATTTGGTGGCTCTACCTGTTGTCATAAGGGTGAGGCTTATTATCAAACCCTTACCATCTCGGAAACAAAGGTCAGTAGGAGTTTTGAAAGCTGCTCAGTGGGCATCAAACGGACCAAAGCGCTTTTCTGAAAAATGGGATATTTGGCTGGCTTGAGAGGGAGCCTTCGGACAAATCATAGCTTGGGTCACGCATCTTAATGCCGCCCTAGGAAGTCCGAGTTGCCATAGGTGGGTGACCCAGTTGCCACTGGTGGGTGACAAGGATATGTCCATAATGGCAGTTCCCCAAGGGATACTAGGGCAAAATCATTGCCAACATGTGCATACTTTGGTTTTGAAGTACCCAACACCTCTTCTCGAATCATTCACGCTCTTACTCTGGCCTGTGAGTTGCTTACCCAAGCAACAGGTACAGTTAGGACACGTATTTGGGTTTCCCGACTGAGCCACTCGGCCACTTGGGGTGTCCGTGTGCCTAGATGTTTTGTGCTTGGCATATGGGTGTGTCTGTTTTTAGGGGGCCCCAAATGGATTTCAGTTTTCCTTCGGGTTTCCATGGTTGTTGCTGGGAAACTTCTTACATTTTTGCTTATTGTGGTTGAGTGGTTGAAATCCCCACTGAACTGCTATTTTTTCAATTTTTGCGCCCCTTCGAACGTCAACCAAGTTTCCCTTGAACATCTACAAGTAGAATTAGACCTAACCAGCTGTCTATTTAAACTAACTAGCTGTCAGCTTTTGGGTTGCCACCCGGGACATCCTCTTCCTAAGCCCGTTTTTACACCTTTCCCCTTGCCCCTTCTCCTGGCCCCTCTTCTCCTTTCTGCTGGCTGCTGGCGGCAGCTGCCAACTGCTGGCTGGCACCAAGCACAGCGCCACCTGGCAGCTTTTTTGTGGGACTGTTCAAGGGAAGAAGGGGGTCAAATAGTCAGGCTTCAATCTTCAATGCAAATCAATGCAGGGCAATTTGTTTTCCGCTCCCCAAGCGTTGTGTGGGTCCAGCCACACGTAGGATCATAGATGACTTCTGAATCTAAAGCTAGACCTGCATGTTAGCACGCCCAGCCACCAAAACCGCCCTCTCGTCACTAGATTTCCAGGCTGCATTGGCCCGCGCAAGCGTTGCTTTGCAACGCGAAACCCCATCTTTGTGCAAGAAGTCCTTGACCTAGGAAGAAACCAGACTGTTTGAGTGTGACAATCAAATCATAACACTCAATGGTTTTTAGACCAGGCACAAATTTCCAGCGGGCGCTCTGCAGCGTGGGTGTGGCCGAATTGCCTCCATTGTCCAAGTCCAAGGGACGGTGAACCTTGGGGTGTTGAACGTTGACACACATTTTCTGTTGGGTGGTCACCCATCAAAACAAAATAAAAGTCATACAATTTCAGTTGACTGTAAATAAAGCCAGGTCGCTCCCTTCTTAGCGTACTTGTCATGCCACTCCGTAGACTTGTCACGCTTCCGCTGCTGGCGATCCTCTCGAATCTTCGCAGCTGTGCCCGGCGACATGTCAGGAGTGATCCGCGGGCCATGGACCTTCGCAGCAGCCCTCTTGGGGCTTGCCTTGGCCTTCGGGCTTGCCTTGGCTTTGGCAGCCCTGCTCCGTGCTTTGGCTTTGGCAGCCTTGGGGCCTGCGCTGGTCTTGGCCTTGGGGCTTGCCTTGACCTTCGCCGCCTTGTAGCCCTTGACGTCAGCCTGGTAGCCCTCGACCTCGCCCTTGTAGGCCTCCCCGTCGATGTCAGCCTTGTCGCCCTCAACGTCCGGCTTGTAGCCCTCAACGTCAGCCTGGTAGCCCTCGACCTCGCCCTTGTAGGCCTCCACGTCAGCCTTGTCGCCCTCAACGTCCGGCTTGTAGCCCTCAACGTCAGCCTGGTAGCCCTCGACCTCGCCCTTGTGGGCCTCCACGTCGATGTCAGCCTTGTACTCCTCGTCATCAGGCTTGTAGCCCTTAGGAACCCCGCCTTCGGCCGTGTAGCCCTCATCGTCAGGCTGGTTGCCCTGCAGACTGTTCTCCACTTCAGTGTCCTCCACCGTGTTGTTCTGGTTCACGTACTCGCTGGTGTCGTGCGCATCTTGGGTGTCCTGGTAGTAGGCCTTGTTGTCAGAGGGTGGGGGCTCTGGCCCAAACATTCGGGAGGAAGGCGGTTTGACCATAAGCCCCCCAGCCGGAACAGGTGAGGCCATTCGCGGCGAGCCCTCTCCAAGCATCAAGGTCTCCTGGCTGTCCTGCAAGTTGGTTTCAACCTTTGATGGCGCATTGCTAGGCAAAACACAAGTTGTGTGATTGTTCATTGAACAAGAAAGCTTGGGTCCCTCCATGGTTGTAAACGAAAGCTTGTAAGGTTGCCAGCCAAGTGACGGCAGCGCAAGGTCGGGCGACCGGCCTGAACCCCTCCAAGTCTGAGGAAATCCGAAACTGCCTCAAGCGCCTCAAGGAAGCTGTTATCCCGGTAGACGTGGCCTTTTCTGTGGCCATGGCGGGTGTAGTTGTTCTTGAAGAGCTTTGCCCAACTGTCACCTTCATGAAGCCAGTTGGCCGTGTTTCCAAGGCCGCCATCGCAGTGTTCAGGTGCTTGCCCAGCAACTCTGAGTCGTCATCCGTTTCAAGGTTGATCACCCGATCAAGGGAGGACATAGCTCCAAGACGCTAAAGTGCCAGGTCAGGGCTGGTGCTTAAAAAGGAAGGGCTGCACCAAAGCAATAAACATCAAGCTCTCCATCCAAAAAGCATTTGTCAAGAAGCGCCATGCAACTGCACTTGCAGCATCGCAAGGTTATTTTCCTGGACGGCGGAGCAGGCCAGGGAGTGGCAGGGATAACTGATGGTCTGGACGGTGCTTTCCAAAATCACAGGGCTGCCCAAGCCAAACCTATACATGTTTAAACACTGACTGCGTGTTGTTTTTCTTGCAATTGATTTCCACAATGCAGAACTTTGGATGGAAGTAAGACAGATTAGCAACCGATTTCGAATCAGGGCAACCTTGTGAGAAAGCAAATCAGGCTTTGAGCCTTTCAGGCAACTTGGTACACCACATCAGGCTCCATTTGAAGCCCTTTCCCGGACAAAAACCACATGGGTTTTGCAGGGCCCAAGGTCTTTTCTTTGGTGTAATGACGCATTCCTTAGGTGCTGCAACAATCAGTGATCTATGCAAGTGGCTGATGACTGAAGTTAACATGTTGGCCGAGATTCGCCAAACAAGACTCACATGGGTGGAAGCACGGAGGGTCTTAAATCCTATCAATCCAGCCAAGTTGGAAGCTTTGACGTTCTTCACGCTGATTGGATTTGGCTTGAAGACGCAGTGGCAGGAGTGCTCGATCTGCAGCCTGTTTAGCAACAATACTGAATGTTCTCAAATGAGTCCCATGTTCATCAAACTTGTGAATTGGGGGAACACCATCAAACCTGATGCCACAAAACGTTCCAGCCTGTCAGAACATTCACCCTTCTTTACTTCAGCTGGGCGGTCCACTTTATGCCCTGTCACTGCAAAGTCTATTGAACCCTTCTTTTCCAACTGCACATAAAGATCATAGAATGGCAGTGGCTTCGAATCCACCACAGCAGTGCTCCCTTCCGTCGATGTCTCCAGGACAACCTGAGGCAGCAGCACTCAAGACTCTAGATGGTAGTTTTGTGGAAACAGCTTTTGTGAAACAGATTTGATGAATAACCTGGATCCGGGCAACCCATTGGTTCTGGCTTTCCAACTTGAACTCAATCGCTTTTGATTCGTTCTGCGGCTTGTCCAAAAAGTCTTTGGCCTCAGAGTTGGGACATTTGTTCAGCCCAATAGGAGTCGACAAATTTCAAACACTGTCTGTATTTAACTGGGGCACCTTGGCAGAATCGGAGATCCACGACCCTCCCGCATAAAGGAAAAGTGCCTTTGGGTTGGCACCTGACACACCTTCGATGAAGATCTTTGTGGTGGATACAATGTACACCTTGCCATCCACAAGGTGTGCTGTGACACTGCCAACTGGCAGTGTCACGGATGCCTGGGTGGTCGGGAATTTTTCTTTGAACTTCTCCTGACTCATGGTCTGCATGCCGGAGTCCTGACCCGAAGCTGCGGCAGGCTGCGGATCTTCCTTCTTGACCTCCTGAGCCAGGTTGACACCCTCCGCTGCTGGCGTCACAGAAGGCTGGGCTGGGTTGAACACGGCATCGAAATTCTGAAGCCGGACTCGCCAATCCGGGTCTTAGATGCAGTGAAACATGCATAGTGGGCTTGGAAGAACAATGTGGACACAGCTGAAAAGGGGTTGCTAGCATTTGGGCGCCAGCCGTTGTTAAACATCTTTTTACACCGGCAGTGCGGTCCAAGTGGCTCCGCATGGGGTCTCCCAACCATTTTTCGCGAACATCACGTGGCAACGTGAGCTGGCCCGATTTTGCATCGAAGATGCACATTTTCATTGGAGGGGCCCGTGGGCCAGCGTCCAGGGATGCCGGGTCTGGATCTTCCACGTACTTGGGGCGGACCGTGCTCATGATACCCCGGCTGAATTTCCAGTCCTCAAAATCTTTGGCAAACATGTTGCTTAGGAAGTTCAATGTGTTTTTCCGTCAAGCCGAGTTTCTTGGACCAGCTTGTCTTTGACCACTGTTCTGGAAAACTTGAACACCGCAGGGATGCTGGTTTCGGACCGGCAGGCAAAGAACGTCTCTTGATTTTCGCTCATCATCTCACAGACAACCTCAGCGCCAACGACAAATGACAAGTGCGTGTGGTAGCTTCCAGCCCTGACCCCGTTACCCGAAAAAATCAAGTGTAGACTAGGAACGCGCTCAAGGTTGCCATCGTACATGGTCTTGTGATGGATGACGCAGGCTTGGCCACGCAGAGAAGTGACCTTCCCCAAACAGCCCGCCAATATTGACTTGATGGTAGGCAGGCCCGACGCCCATTGTGCTGTCTCCTCTTTGTCCTTGAAAAATCAATGCGCAAGGATGTGTGCAGGGATGTGTCAATTTCAAACAGTTGATGGTTGCAAGCAAAGAGCTGTCAATGATCGGCCGGTCGACTCGTGGCTAAAGAACCCGCTGGATTCTGGTGTGACGTACTCGCCTCAAGGGAAGGGAATTGAACTGGGTTGTTGCCCCCCAACTCAAAAAAACTATGACCATTTGTCAAGTAATGAGGGACTGGCTGATTGGCATCGGCTCCGTGTTGGCAGTCATCAGGCTGTTCCACAAATCACACTTTGCAAACACGTTCGCATCGGATGCGTCGCGCTCAGCATTGCGTGGAACTTTGAACAGCGTGCCCATCCGAGCACCCAATGTGTGATCCAGCATTACCAGCCAAGCCGGAAGCGTACGAGGAAACGTCCTCGGGTAAGTAGCTACAAAAAGAAGATTGTGATTTTGCTTTCAACCTTCAACTGTTGACCAAGAAGCCTGTTCCCGTGCAGCTTTGTGGTCTCGAACCCAATCTGGACCGACTTTAATTCCATGCCGCAGCTGAGAAACTTGTCCTCCACCCTCCTCGGTGATACCCCATCCCAAAACAAAACAAACAGTTTGGGGGTGTAGCGCAGCCAAAAAGCCGTTGCTCGCCCCTGAGGCCATGCAGCACGCCTTCTCCGGCCAGAATCGGCGCCACCATGAAGATCACACCTTGGATAGGCCAGGCACAGAGCTTTTGCGGGATTTTCCTACTAAGCTGATGCAACCGAAAAACTGTGCTCAGGGTTCTGTGAAAGAACCTGGTGAGCCCAGTTGGCCATGTCCCCCACCTCAATGGCAGTGAGCCGTCCCAGCTTTGGTAGATCAATGAACCCGATGTGGTGGCACTTTGCGAAGGAGGCCGTGTCCATCCCACCGTGCCCATCTCTGCCGGTAGCCGCCTCCTGAACCACCTTCCTGGAGAAGGTCTCCATGCTCTCTCTCGACGTTTCAGCAGCCCCTGTGCAAAGCATCAAGCACCGACGCTGCATGAAACTCTCACACAGCGCCATTCCAGTCTCAATCTGGCCCCGCAAGTGAAGCACCTTGAAAGTCATTTTCAGAAAGAGACAATGAGAAACTCGGGTGATAACATTGACTTGTGTTTGTTGGCCGTCTTGCATTAACTCAAGCTAAAATGCTACTCATGCTTCGCAGCAGCTTTCGTGACGTGGTGGTTGCTCTCAACCTGGGATGTGGGGGTTCTTTATGACAGCCAACGCCCCCTTGGGAAAAATGCACTGGTCCAGGCCTTGTTCTTCCTCAAGTTGAACGTCACCGCCTCCTTGTAGTCATGGGCCAAATTGGCACAGACCACATTGTACTCTGCGACCTTGAGCTGTTCCTGCTAGGGAGGTGAAACATGTTGAGAGGGTCTTTTGTTTGAAGGAGCCTTGCAGCACCCTCCTGTTTGAGCTTCTTTGGTACTAGCAAACCTACTTCCTGTTTTCAGCAAGTGTGGGCCTGCGCGTCTTCCAAGTCCACGCAATCCTGGCCGGCAGGCGTCACATCCGCCAGCTTTCTCCCGATGTGGTCCTGCCACATGGACAACGTCTCCACCGTCAAGGAGTCGGGGCGGGTGGTGAGCACAGCATCGATGTCCTGCTGGTAGTCCCTAGCAGTGACAGGATTCAAAGGACTAAGTTGTTGTCTACACAGGCTTCAACATCCCTGATGCGTTAAACATATGTTTGCAGGCATGTGTCCCATTCATGAAGGCGGCTAGCATGGCGTCAATCATTTCCGGAGTCACCTAGTCGGTGCAACGGTAGACAATCTGCCTCGTTGTTATCAAAGTCAAGTCAATTGGGCAATGGTATTTAGCAAGTCACTTTGCTGTTCTCCTGGCACTGCTTCAAGGTCCAAATGAAGATGCAGCAGTGATCCACATTCTTGCTCCACTGGTCTTCGTTCCATCGCAGCCGCGGCCGCATCGACCGTTTCAATTTTCGGGCGTTTGTTTGCCAGAACTGATTGTACTTGGCGATGTGCAACTGCTGAGCATCCGGCCCCACCTCAGCATCCACCAAAAAGTTTACAGTGTTTTGGGAATAATGTCTTATTGGCAAGGCTTAGAGCGGTCCAAGAATCAGTCAGAATTTGCTGGCACAAAGGTGATGTCCCCTTGGGCGAGTTGTTCAAGGTGTGGCGCTTGCTGCGAAGCAGTGACTCATTGTAAGCTTCAGGGTTGCCGTCAAATTTGAATGCATTTTCTCAAGCGCACCCTGAAGTTGGATTCCTTTTGCACCCAACCCCCCACATGAAATGAGAGAGCAAGAAAAATAAACACAAAATGTGTTTTCTTGTTCAGCCCCATCAGCGCCTGACTCCTCCCACTTGTTGAAGTGGAGGTGCGCCCGTATCATCGCTCTCGCTTCGTCCGTCATGCCGCAAATGACGTTGACCATCGCCAGGAACTGATCCTCGGACACAGGCTGGAATGGCAGGGTGTGCCTGGGTTTGGGTGGGCAAAAACAAGCAATAATAGCAAAGTGCCCTTAGTGAAAAGGTTCGTGGGACAGTTGCCATCGCTTGATGGCACTATTGGCTTTGTAGTTGTTGTATTTTTCAACCAGCTCGTGGAGAATCTCGACCTCGGTCATGTCCTTGTACTCTGGCTGGCGCCGCCTTTCCGCCAACAACTTCTCAAACCGCTGTGCCACCTTCAGCACCTAGGCTTCATGGCCCCCTTTCCCCCCTTCGTCCCCTTGCTATTGGTCCCCTTGCTCCCTTGGTCCCTATGCCCCCTACAATTCATGCAGCTGTATCTATGTAAGACTAGCAGCATCCTTTCGCTGACGCTCAGCTCCCTGTGTTGACAGCTGAATGTTCTGCATGCTTGCCACCTCAAAGTCACGATCCCAAGATATGATTACCGGCATCGCCCAGAAAGAGCTGATAGCAGGCAGCAGTGGCTCCATCAGGTCCTCCAGTCATTTGACAAAAACAATGTTACAAACTAACTACAAACACCCTGTTCCTTGGAAGCTAGTGGGTCCAGCTCTGACGCCACCAACAGAAGGAACAGCCCAGATGTCCTTAGTTGATGCTGCAAAACACCGCCATTATCATCACCATCACAGTCACCATCACCATCACCATCAGCGTCACCATCAGCAGCACCACCACCACCATCACTGTCACCAGCATCACTTTCCCTCATCATCAGCAGCATCATAATCATAGTCACAAACATCACCATCACCATCACCACCACCAGTGCCATGAAATCATCATCATCATCATCATCATCAGCAGCAGCATCATCATCATTATCATTATCTTTATCATCATCATCACCATCATCATCACCGCAATCACCATCACCGTCATCATCATCATCATCAACATCATCATCATCACCATCATCGTCATCGTCATCGTCATCGTCATGTCATCACCATCGTCATCATCATCATCATCATTATCATCGTCATCATCACCGTCAGCATCATCACAACCGTCAACGAACACCCTCGCCATGATCTTCAGAACCATTTTAACCACATAAGCGCAATGCATGTTTGCTGGTTACCCTCGCCGTCAAACAAACTAACAGGAAAAATTATTCGATGTTTGCAAGTCTAAGTATCAGCCGGGTGAACCCCTTCTTGATGCTCAAGTATGGTGAGCCACTTGTTGGCGTTGATGGGCTGCAGCCCGGGGCCAAACAAACATCCAGCGGTTCTCGATCTAAGCGACTTCCACTGAACATGAAACTCAGCAGGCAGGTTGTCCAGTCATCGATCGACGGCATGCCGTCGTCAGGCTCCTTCATTACCAGCGAGCTCACCGCCACTCTGGCCGAGATGGTTGGCGCCCGTGATGTGTCGGCAAGGACGCCGAGGTCCTGGGTGTGGGAGGGTGGGATACGAACTAACCATGAAGACCCTTACATGATCGCATTAGCTGGGAATTGGCTTTCTAATTTATGGACAAGGAGCAGGCTGCGTGCCAGCATCCATGGTTTGACCAAACACTTTGTTCAACTCCTGCAAAAACATCTTGATCTGCCTCCACACCCGGGTAGCCTTTTCGGCAGTGCTGAACGCCTCCAATACCACATCCACAGGATGAGGGAGCTTTGTTTCTGCATCTATATGGCCCTCTTGGAAAAGCATAATGAAGTCCAAAATCTCCTGATCGGTATTTCAAAAAACCAAAAGCCCATGTGGTTTCCTGAAAACTTCAAGTTAGTCCTGCATGAACTTGGTGTCACCGGGTGCCTTCTTCAAAGCATTTGTCCATTCCTGAGGTAGTCGAACCCAGTCCAAACTGCGAATAACCTGTCCGGTCGGCACTGCTTCTTTTTCCGCAATGCCTTGATCTTAAAGCGGCTTCAACGTCATGTACTCTTCTCTAAGTGGTTTCAAACCAAAAAATGCACTCATGATTGTGCGTATCATCCAAGTGCAATGGGCTCTTTACACAAACCCGCACTCCTCCCTTTTGCACTGGGAGTGCAGAGCAAAAGCTCCAAAAATCACGACGGGTCCCGTCGCTATTTCCCCCCTCACAGCATCCGAACTGCTTGTTCATGATGCTCAGCTCAAGCCGCTCGTCACGTCATCCCGCGGGGCAATCTGCCCTCATCTTGCATCCTCTCGAAGTTGTCACGGGTCACCCCGCCTTGGCAGAATCTGCACGGCTGCATGGGGCTCAGTGGCTCTCGGCCGATGCCCACACAACGAGCACTGCCATGTAGGAAACCATCTTCCCCCCGATAGGACCGCGCGCCACGGGCCCTCTGTCGATCTCCCGGCCAGCAGTGTGGGCATGGCAGCACCGCCCTTAATCCACGAATGGTGGCGTTCCGGAGCCCGTAGCAGTTGCGTCGCCAATGGATTCGATCACCCATCGACGTGATGTGGTAGACCTCCACTGCCTCCGGTTCCGGCTGCACCTCACGCCAACGGATCTGCTCCATGACCATGAGCTCTTCTCGCCACCTTGCATTCAATCTCTCATCCTCCGTCTGCGGCCCAACCGGCCGTCCAGGAGCTTGCTCGGCTGTGGGTTGCTCCTCAGCCTGACCGCTAGTCCTCCTCCTCAACTGGCTTGGCCTCGAGGAAGTCCCAACTGAAGCTTCCAAAGGCCTTGCCTCCGTGGCTGCTTGCGTCCACCTCGGCACCTCGATGACTTCACTGTCATCTTCTGTCTGAGTGGCTTGCTCACTCTGACTGGTGAGGAACAGCCTCCTCACTCTCGAGCACGGGCCTTCCAGCAAAGTGCCGATTCCAGCCCCCAGCTCCTTCATCAGCCGGTACAGCACCACAGACACCACCGCAATGATGCAGACCAGCACTGTCACGTCCATGGAGTCCTCTGCTTGGCCCTTCTCCTTTTCGGCTTTACATGCCGTGATCTGGATCAGCGCAACCAGCAGCTTGACCACCTTCTCCCTCTGCAGGTTCACCTTGATGGAGGCCACCTTGACATTCTCCACCTCCTTTTCCGGCTGCAGGTTCCACAGCTCGCACAGCTCTCTGATGCGCGATGGCCCCAGCGGCTTCGTGCCAAGGTCCGCCAACATCTGCTGACCTGGGCAATGCCTCATCAGCCATTCTCCTTCTCGCACGCGCCACCTGAGATGAAAGGCCCTCAGCCTCAGGTGCCTCGTTCTCCATGCACCTGCTGTGTCCGTTGCGATGGACACCGCTGCCGCGTTGTCACACAACAGCATCTTCGGAAAGTCCTCGATGCCGATGGCGTTGCCGATCAAGGCCTCCACCGAGTCTCCAAGAACCACCGCATCGATCGCCTCGATCAGCTCGCTCTCAGCAGTCGATAAGGCCGGGAACGCTTGCTTCCCCGCTTTCCAGGCGACCACCGTACCGTTCCAGCACACCACAGAGCATCCTTGGCTTCGTGCTCCTGATGGTGCGAAGGATGCATCCGAGTAGGCCTGAAGTCCGCCAGGTCCATGCCCAGACCAATGTTGCCCGGAATCCTTCGTGATCCGGATGCCCCACCCCTTCGTCTCGCGGAGGTACCCAAGCATGTAGCCCGAGGC